ATCATCCAAAGTTAAGGCAAGTAGACCTAAATTACCAGCATTTAATGAAGGTAAGAATGATCTGGATGCTTATTTAAAACGATATGAAAGGTATGCCACGTGATTTGGCAGTAAATTTAAGTTCTTTATTAACAGGAAAATCTCTTGAGTTTATTTTAGGTTATCTACAGTCGAAGCAAATGATTACAGATTACTTAAACTGCTCTATTGAAGCATTTCCAGTTTACATGATGGGATTGACATCTACATCTTGCAAGACCTGAAGCTGGAGAAAGTGGGCATTAATTTGCGGCAATTTGAAAGATGTTTTGACTAGATGGATAGAATTAGCAGATGCAGACATTTTGCTACGAGAACAGTTTACATGGATGTGGGCATGAGTAGGCACTTTTACTTTGGGAAAGTCAGCCGAGAACCTTTTTGAACTGCTATGGCTGAAATTCCGAAGCAGTACATTGAAGCCTGTGGAGAAATGTTCGGTCAGCTTTAGGGATCCATTTTTAAAACCCGTACCAAGTGCAACCACAAAAATAGTAAACCCTATTTTGAGAGCTCCATTCCCATCTCAAATGGTAAGCAAACTCACTCCTGTAACTTGTTATTTGTGTCATCAAGTACAGTAGGTATTTGGAAAGAAATTGTTAATTTTTAACATTGTCTAATCCAATAATAATTGTTATAGAAGTCCGAGTTGGAGACGTTGCCAGAAACTGCAGGCAATACAGACAAATGTGCCGGCTATTCTTATTCCAAGACAGGTCAACTGAAATCTACTTTCCCTGAAGAAGGTAGTAATGAAGATCCAGAAGTGGATAAATATAAACCAGACATAAGTGCTTGCGTAGTTGAAAGAAAAGCAGCATCATTAGATGACTGCTGCTGCATAGATGAAGAGGGTAGTCAGGTAACGCCTACATGTGGGCATTTTCTTTCTATAATGAGCGTAGCTTGTACAATTTACTAAGAGAATGCCAGTGTCCACAGGTACTGTTGGCTCGCATCCAGTTTCTGTTCTCTGTTACAGTGATGGCATGGTGTGGTGGTAAATAAAGGATTTGTTTTGTGTTACCTGGACAACTGACTGGCAAGATGAAAAAAACCCTGTGTTTTAATAATGGTACTGTTAGGAACTCATAAAGAACCATTATATATCTGAACTTCATAATACAATATAGATTAAATTTGATGTTTCAAAATTGAATTTTCTGTAGTTTTTAAAATGTATTTATTGTATAGTTTCCATATTTATAGTTCTATTATTATTTTTCTGGTATTTTAGTATTCTCATTTGGGGACCACGGTGGAAATAAGTTGCTTTTTGTAATTTCCTGTGTTTTTATCCTTAAATGTTTTCCCAGTCAATATCCCTATATGTTTTTGTATAATTTTGATGTGTCTGTGTATATTTGTACATGCCAATGTGGAAAAGCAAATATATAATCTCTATTTATACCCTTGGAAAAAGATTATTTATTCCAATAATTGAACTTTAGTAATTCCTGTGGCCATTTTCACCTAATATCCTGGACGCACCCACCTGTGTAGCAGATTGTGAATTCCAAAGAACCGCTTGACATGAGTTGACGACGGATATTGTGGACCAACTTTATTTTAGCAAAAAAAAAAAAAAAAATGCCATTTTTATGATTATGGGGTATATTTGTGATGTATGTATCAACAAAACGAGGTAGGCCTATATATTGTACGTGTTAAAATAAAACAATTGCAATTTGTATTTTTTTTTTTAGATGTTTAGTTTCGTTATCAAACAATACAAGTCAGTTTCTTTGTAGGTGTGCATGGCATGGTGGAAATAGACTTTGGCGGACGAACGCGGCTTGTTTTGAAAAGGATTTTTGATGTGATTAGGTAGGCCTGTGCATTTTATATACTTGTACATGCTGATGAAAATTAATTTGCAAAAACCGCTTGACATGAATTGACAACGGATATTGTGGACAAGCTGTATTTTAGCAAAAAAAAATGCCATTGTTTTATGATTATGGGGTATATTTGTGATGTAAGTATCAACAAAATGAGGTAGGCCTATATATTGTATGTATTAAAATAAAACAATTGTAATTTGTATTTTTTTTTTTTAGACTTTTAAAGTTTCCTTATCAAACAATACGAGTCAGTTTCTTTGTAGGTGTGCATGGCATGGTGGAAATAGACTCGGGCGGACGAACACGGCTTGTTTCGAAAAGGATTTTTGATGTGATTAGGTAGGCTGTGCATTTTACATACTTGTACACGCTGATGAAAATTAATTTGCAAAATCATGTAATAAATATTTTCTTATTTTTATAGTACAAGGATATTTTATTCATTTATTCTGTCTTTTTACTGCACTTTCAGTACTTGGGTACTGTTTTTCAAAGTTGTACAGTTGCATAATTAAACAAATATTGAAATGCAATGCAAGTAACATAAACATTCTTAAATATATAATAAATACAAATAATTAAGAATTAAGAGAGTTTTTAAAAGATAAAATAGTAATGTATGTGTGTGTGTACCGGTATACGTATGTTGCATACATATCATATTTCCCATGAATCGATAAACCCCAAAAATACAAAAATGGTTGGGGGTTCCCCTCTCCTGTAGAAAATTTTGATTCCTAGATGGCGAGAAATGAGCTTTCCTGACCTTTTTATTTATTTCTTATTTTTTGACTAAGGGAGGGGGATCAAGACTCCTGACACCCCACATCTGTCAATGTGAATTGCGAGAAAATGTAACTTGGTTGGGGACTGGATAAACACTCTCTTTCCGCTTGATCTCCTTCTTTCCTCTTTATTTTCTTGCATTTCTTTCTGATCATACAAAAATCTCCTGACATTATATATTTTCTGCCAAAAAGTGGGGTGGGCCCCCTAGCCATGTCCTACGTAAAACGGGCATGGAGGTCTGAGATAATGCTTAACTCTAGTGGTGGACCTTCCCTATTTACCCCATAAAACAAAAAAGAAAAATAAAGAAAGTCTATTGAATCTTCAAACTGATGATCTAATTTCTTCGTTCCTTAAAATTATCATGTTTCAACCTTACTGTTTCTTGTTTTTTTTTGTTTTTTTTTGGCAGATGAAGCAACAGAACATGACCCATGCAGCAAATCATAAAAAGCGTACTGAAGTTTTTTTAGAACATTTGCTGAATAGTGCGATAATCCTGGTAAAGGAAGGTATAGGAGCATCCAGTCAATGTTAAAGTGTCAAAGCATATGGAATCATGAATGTTTGACAAGGGTGCATATTGATGGGGCAATACAATAACTGCTTGTGAGAATTATATTTGATGGTGTTTAGAAAAAATAAAACGATTGAAAAGCATCACAGTAGACCTACTTGGCTGCTACTTGGAAATTGGACTCTTGCAAGATTTCTTTTGCTTAAATCAGATTCAACACAAAGCCACTGTAGCGTAAGCTCAGTTGTTCAATTCCTACCCAAATGACTTTATTTACAAGTATTATGGAACATGCTGAGCATTCAGTATGATGAACTAAAACATTCCTAACATAAAAAACAGCATTGAATGGCATTACAGTACTCACTGGTACATGGAAATGGGATTTACACACCAGATAACTAGCCTGGTGCTTAACCACTACAACACTGAGCTTGCACTTTCTTAAATCAGTATTTGTGAAAGTCACTGAGAATAAGAAAACAACTGAATTTTTTTTTTTTTTTGCAGACGACAGACAACTCTATGCAATATAAGTAATTTTTGATATACATCAAAGAATTAATAATACTGTAAGTATTAAGTGAAATATACTGAAGCTTTATGAAATTATTAACTTTATTATTACCTTTAATTTCGTTTAATTCATGTTTGTGTCTAATTTTTTAGAATCAATTTTTGGTGGATGGAGCAACACAGTTGCAAGACAGGAAAAGTACTGCTGCAGAGGAAGACAAGGAAGAGAAACCTATTATAATTAATTTTTTAATAAAAAACTGAGTATATTGTACAGAAGATATAAACTGGCTAATTACAATCAGACCAGAGAACCAGAAAACTACTATGATTACTAGCAGAGCATTTTAACTTTTTATATAATGAATTGTTGATGCCTATAATTTACATTATGTGATTTTGGTTATGAAGATAATAAAAAATATAAGTAGTGTGTTGACTTTTCTTTGCTGTTCAAGTTTGAAGACTGGTGGATGCAGGTAAGTTGTTGCAGCATCAAGACAACAATTGCTTAATTCTGAAAAACTGATTATATTGTACAGAAGATATGAACTGACTAATTACTAAGACAACCAGAAAACTACTATAACTTGAATTTTAACTTTCCATATAATGAATTGTTGATGCCTAATAATTTTCATTACGCGATTTTGGTTTGGTTTTGGTTACAACATAAAAAAAAAAAAATCAATAGTGTTTTAATGTTTCTTTGCTGTTCAAGTTTGAAGACTGATGGCTTGACTGATGGATGCAGGTAAGATGAAAAATGCGCCCTCCAATAGAAAAAGGCTAATTTTTCCCATGTCCTCAATTTATATTAAAAGTGGTGCTGAAGGGTGCCCTCTAATAGAAAGCCAAAATTTCCAGGGTCTCTAAAATTATTTAAAGGGGCCCTGTGTGGTGCTGAAAACCGCCCTCTATAGCCATTTTAGTTCAACGTTTTTCGGTGGTCTCTTATTTGTCATTAATTTAATTAATAAGGTGGTAGTGCCCTCTAATAGCCAGTTTTTATGCTATTCTGAAAAAATTGGATGTTAGAGGGTGCTTGCTGCCATTGACAGTTAAGACACCCTAAAAAACTTTGAATTAAAATGGCTATTTAGGGCGATTTTCTTCACTATTTTTATCAGAACCGGACAGATTATTGTGGCCAAATAACTTAGTCATATTTAGGGCCTTTTTCTATTCGAGGGCGCTTTTTTTTTTTTCCGTCCTGCTTTTTCAGTGCTCAAGAAGAAAACAATACTCGATACTAAACTGAATACAATGAATATTTATTTATTCAAAATATTTCCAAAACGATATTAAATTGCAAAGAATATTTATTTGAAATAGAAAACTTTAATTGCCAATTCAGTCGCCACATTCTGAAAGAATAAGAAATTAAAGTAATAAGCTATGGAATGGAAAACATTCAAGCAATTTAATACAATAATTTTTAAGTCCAGTGGAAAAACATTCAAAGTTATTAACAATTTTTAAGTCCAGTGGAAAGGGAAAACGTTCAAAGTTATTTTAAATTGAAACATTTACGCAAATTTATACAACAATTTTTATGTCCAGTGGAAAGGGAAAACGTTCAAAGTTATTTTCAATTGAAACATTTACGCAAATTTATACAACAATTTTTATGTCCAGTGGAAAGGCAATTGAAACATTTACGCAAATTTATACAACAATTTTTATGTCCAGTGGAAAGGGAAAACGTTAAAAGTTATTTTCAATTGAAACATTTACGAAAATTAATACAGCAATAATTTCAGAAACAAGTATCAAATCTGAAATCGATGTCAGCATTTATTTATCCCACAAAGCAATTTGCAATGGACATGAAATTTATAATAAGAAAATTCACAAAGTTTTTCTAGCACACTCACCATTCAGTAGAGGAAGCAAAATTCGTCATTCAGCCAAGCAGGGCTGGTCCACTTGTTGCAGAGGTGCAATGTCTAAATTTTCTTCAGAATTTCTATAATAAAATAAATTGCAATAATTGGATTTAGGATGAGAAAATACAAATGCACCATAAATATCAAGATGTTTAATTGCTAATTTAATTACTATAATTCTGAAAAAAAAAAAAAAATTTGGTCAAATAATTAAATTTTAATTTTATGAACTATTAATCATAACATAATTACAGTAAATATTACATGCAGAATGAAAATGATAGGCATGCATTTTATATATATGAATGCTTGCAGTACACAACAAAGATAGTTCTGGAAAGAACTACTGTATTGTTGGTTGAGAATGCAGGGCTGGTGGAACGTTTTCAAAGTGGGAGGGGACTCCCAACTAGTAAAATGGATTTGTGAATCGGGGGAATCTGGCTTCAAATGTAGGGGGGATATGGGTTAGAATTTGCCCCAAAACCCCAAAAAAGAAGGCAGTCTGAGGATCCTCAAATTTTGATTCCTAGAGGCTGGGAAATGAGCTTTCCCAACTTTTGAGCTGGGTGTATCATAATGATAAGTTCTTCAAAATTCAAGGTTTTCTCCCTCTTGAAAACAGTTTAATAGCTAACTGTTCTCATTCTTTACATTAAAAAGGCCTGTTATGTGTGTATACATAAAAGAATTGAGTAGTTGCATACGTATTCTTTTTTTCATGAATCGATAAACCCCCCAAAGGAAAGGTTGATCTGTGGGTTTCCCCCTGGAAAATTTTGACTCCTAGATGGCTGGAAATGAGCTGTTCCGACTTTTGAGGTGTCTTTTAACGACTTTTAAGTACTCCAAAATTCAAGGTTCCTCCCCTCTTGAAAACGATTCCATGAATCAATGAACCCCAACGTGAAAGGGGGATTCAGGTTCTCTCTGGAAAAGTATTGATTTCTAAATGGCGGGAAATGAGACTTCACGACTTCTGAAGTGACTTTAATTTGAAGTTCTTAAAAATTTAAGGTTCCCCCCTCTTGAAAATGGTCAAGTGAATTTTTCTCATTCTTATTACAGTAAGTGTATACATAAAAAAAATTGAGTATTCTTTTCTCCCAGTATCGATAAATCTCAAAAAGAGAGGGGGTGCGGGGTTCTGCCCCTGGAAAATTTTGATTCCTAGATGGCGGGAAATGAGCTTTCCCTTCTTCTGAGGTGTCTTTTATTGACTTTGTGTGTTTGAATTATCTCAAGAAATGGCTGCACAGACATAATTAAATATAACAGGGAGAATTAGGCATAACCCAATTTGAAAAAAATGGTCCGGAGTAGGGTGTGGATGTGAGGATCAATTAAAGGATTTTAGAGCAAATGTTCTAGACAAGATATTTCAAAAACTAATCAACTGATGAATGAAAGTTTGGTGAAAGTTTAACCAAGTTACAAGAAAGATATTATTAAGTGTTGATGATGATTAAAATTCAGGTGTAAATTTGAGGGTCATCCTAAGGTCCCACCTAAATATTCTAAGGATAATCAATGGATCCAAATTTCCCTTTCCACAATAATTTGTCATGTTTCAATGAAAAAAGTGTATGGATATGAGAACCATTCAAACGAAAACGTCCCAGACCCGATATTTAAAAAACTAATAAAATGATCTGAATGAAACTTTCGTTAAAGTTTAATCAAATTACAAGGAAAATAAATTTGAATTATTGGTGATGATCCAAAGTCGGGTGTGCATGGAGGCCAGATCCCACACCTAAATATCTCTAGGACGATTTAAAAAATAGGTTTACTGTCTTACTGTAGGCATGAACAATAGTTATATGATGAATATCTAAATTAGTGCAAGTACAGTAAAGCGGTACAGCGTTTTGTGTACTAACTTCACTTTTTTTCGGAACTGATTGGGAATTATTTTTAATACATACAATGTGACGACCAAACCCTCATATATATATTAGCATGGTATGTATGTATTTTTTTGTCAGGTATAAGAGTGTGACATTCCAGTGTGTTAAAGCTAGAAGATGTAAGGCATTGGCAGGTGTACAACTGATACAATAAAAGGCATTCGAAAAATTGATTGATTAAATTTTGGTGTGGATGTGAATATATGGACTAATTCAAAGCAAAATGTCCCAGATCAGATCCCAAAAAGTAATCAACTGATTTGAATTCAACTTTCGTGTTTAAGTGTAATTTCTTTTTAAGTAGATGGTGGTTGGTGGTTCGAAAGTAAAAACATACTTTTTAGGGATTTATTTTTGAGAAAGGGATTTGCAGTGGGCGGAGATATGCTCTCTATTTAGTGCTTTTGTTGTTATTATTATTATTATTATTATTAAAATATATTATTATTATCC